CTCTGACCACTTCCCAGTAAGTGGAAAATGATACCATCATAACCAAAGGGAAGCTACTAGCTAGAAAGACGTAGACACTGCAGTGAGCTAAAACCACAGAAGAGCTCCAGCTAGAAATATATTTAATAGCACTGAATTTCTTAGAGAAAATGCAAAATATGCAGACTGCTGAAGTACACAGGTGCAAACAGCCCAAACCTGCATGTCTGCCTTGAAACCAAGAGCAAACGTGCTATTGCCAAGGCCCTAGGAGACAGGTAATCAGACCACTGTGGAAGTGGCTTCAAAGCCTCTGGGAAAGCACCTGGAGAGCTGCCATACCCATACAACAGAGATACACCCCACAAACAGCATAGCTGAACTCACTACTAATCACAACATAGCAGGAGGAGAAAACAGCTTAGTTATCAATTATATGAATAGAAATGTTTTTTCTGTATTGCAATCAGGCATGCTACAAAAGAAACCATCCTGAGACAAGCTCTCAACACAACTTTGACCACTGTTTCAGTAGCTGATAAAACACAGGATTCTAATCCTAATGGATTCTAATATAGGATTGCCCCTCCAACACACACACACATCCTTTTTTAAAATGTTCTCTGTCACTTTTGCTGTTCACATTGACTTGTCAATATGAAATTATTATAGTTCAAAAAAGAAATAACATGGCACCCTTGCTTATCCTTCCTTTAAATGTAACTTGAATACTTGAATCCTGCTTTTCTTTTTAGTTATTTTACTTGTGAGAATGAACCTCTTGGGTGGGGGGCAGGCTTAAAGAGACTTTAGTGAAAGGTAACTCTTAGTAAAAAATAGAACCAGGTCTAGAAAACTGTTTTGTAACTTATTTCAACACAAGTAACACTTCAACACTTTTTCATCTACTAAGGGAAATGCAAGAGATACTAAAAAGCATTAAATTTAAAATACTCAGATTTACCATCTCTTGTATCTGCAGGAAAACATGCTTTAAAATCTTGCTTAAAAATTACAAATAGTTATTTCTCATTCTGTTATTTTACTAATTCTTTTTTATTTTTCTTTGCATAATTTTGTGTCTGGGCCACTGTAATATAAGACATTGAACTATGGGTTTATTCTTTTCCATTTCCTATTTTTAAAATAGTTTTAAAATTATTTAAAACATATAACACTCATTCTATAAATGTACCTTTGTTATTCTTGCCTGCAAAAACAAATTACTATTTTTTTTGCTTCATAGCCTGTACACCATGGAAGCATCTAGTATTTGGTGATGCTGAGAACATTATCAGTGCTGAAAAAGTTCTTTTTACTTGCACTGCTTGAAAGAGAATGGAATTAAATGAATCAGTCAAAATTGACTTAAGTTTTTCTTAAGCCAACAGTTTTATTTATTTTTTTTTATCTTTACAGACTATTGGGGATATTCTGGAAATGCGCCAGGATTGGTAATTTATTTCTCTTTTTTTTTGGAAACACTTAAGACCAATATTTTCTGTGTTCATTAAATGTTTATTTATTAGGATAATGTTGCTATGTAGCAATGAAAGCCGTATGCTTGCCTCATTTTAAAAAAAATGCACGTTTCACCTCCATGAAATTTGGAGAAGACAGAAAGGGGGGTTTTGCAGTGTTAGGGAAGCCTGCATTTTTTTTAATGTTAATTCACAACTGTGTAGCTACTGTGTAAGGATCTCATGCACTTTTTGCTGCATGCAAAAGTTTAATCACATTTCTTTCTCTCTTTTTTTTCCTCTATCTATATTTAAATTACTTAAAGTTGTTGCTAGCAAGCAACATCTCTATGGAATCTGACCACCTATATCTGATTTTAGACATTTTCCCGTAACAGTCTTATTTATTTTCATCCTTAGTCTGAATTTATTTTTAAATGGAAGAAGGAATATAGTGAAGCTCAGTCTTATCTTGAAGGAATATCCCCAAAAGATTTTAAAAATTATAAATCTATCATAAAAACACTGTTATTCAAATTGCTTGAACAGCAGAGATATGGCACTTGTAATTTGTGATATTACTGTTTCCTCTTCAAACGTGCAGGAAGGTGTGCGGCTCCCTTTTCTGCATCCCAGGCTTTGAAAGGAAAGAGCTTTTCTTCTCATACATCAAAGTACCGATGCAGCAAAGGACTGATGTATCTTTTTGTTTTGCAGAAAACCTGTTAGAACAATTGCAGACATTTTATCCAATCTTGATAATACAAATAGTAGAACCAAAATTTTAGTCTTTATATTTTAATTGAAATACCCTGGCAAGGTGACAGCTGTCAGAAATAAATCTGAGCTGCATTTGGGTTTATTCAAAGTTGAAGAGTAATCCTTACGATCCTTTCACTTAGCAAAGTGCAAGCATATCTTTCCTTTTTACTTTATGCACTGTTTAAAAAGCTATTTAAAGGAGTATTTTATGAGGTCCCTGTCAGCTTGATGCAGTTTTAAAAAAAAGCAGTGCATCACACAGTCTCCATCTAATAACCAATCTTCTAGTCTAAAACGAGAAAATTCTCAGTTTTTGTTGGATCCAAGGTATCATGCCATTTTGTGCCCCATACTGAGCTTCTTTCTTGTCCCTTCTTCAGATAAACTGTTTTGTTAATTTTGTTTCAACTTGTTTGCTGTGATCTAATTTGATTTTCTTTTAGATTGTCTGAGGAATGAGTCAGACTATGTATTTCCTTATAAAACAGCACAATATCTTCAGTGTAGGAAGTGGCCTTTGAAGATGATTCCTATGATTTTATTTGGGTTAGAGTCAAAAGACATGCAGAAAAGTGCTGGCTTTTTAAAATGAGAATGCCTCCTGGCTTCCTTTGCATTTAACTTACCCAGTATGTTTAAACAACCTTTTCACATGCACATAAGACTTTAATAACCAGTGAGTGGTTACATATTTACGAAGTTGTGCAAATCGATGTTTAATCCTGCCACATGGTGATTTTTCTTTCAAGAAAATGAAGAGTAGGAAAGTAAAACCCATATGAAAATTGTAATACTCTAAACTGTAGGAGTTGAACTTCCTCAAAAATTTATTTTAAACAGATGTGAAACTACAGACATTAATTCACTCAGTTATTTGAAGTTTAATTAAATATATGCCAGATGATGACAACATCTTGTAATGTCCCTGTAGCAGGCACCCCTACTTGTGAGAGGTGTCACTACAAGTATTTTATTTTTTTTTTGCTATGGAAAGTTTGTTACTCTTGTATATGTATGTCCTGCTAGTGAAAGAGCCTCTTTTTCTGAGGATTACAACTTAATGCTGGAGTTGGGAGCCTCGGCAGTTTTCTGTAATACTTTTCTGGAAACTGTACCTTGGAAAAGGTAGTTCACAGTAAGATGGAAGGATGTGCACAGCAAAAGGAAATTGAATTTTGTCTAAAGCCAACAGCTCCTGTGCTGCCTTTATACCTCCAAGTGCTTCACAGCAGGATTCAAGGAATCCTCACTGTGCTGACACTGCGAGGCAGTTTTGGAGGCTAGAAGCAACACCCGCTAAGAGGCAGGAGCAGATCTTTCTTAAATGCCTTTTACACAGAACTCAAGTCTGTTAACAGAGTAAATTTAATTTTTATTCGTGGTCTAGTAGATAACTATGCCACTGAGCAATTTGAAACTCAGAAATGATATGTCTGTGTAACCTTCTGTAATTCTGTTTAATCACTAACCTGAGACTCTGGGGAGCAGATTCTCTCCCCAAGCTAGCAGCATAATGTCTCTTTAGCACCGAAAAAAGGCAGGCTCTGGGCAGATCCCCAGCCGTGGTACCACACACAGAAGACACAGGCAGCATATAGCAGCAGCCGTGGCCAGACAACGTCGAGTTGCACCTCTTCTCAGCTGACATGGAACAGCTTTTGAACGACCTCTGCCTGCAATGAAAACTGGGAACAGAGCCAGGAAAAGATTTGGTGTTTTGATCAGTTTTCTGCTGCCTGCCCCCTGACTCTCTTGGGGCCAAAGGAGTTTAATGAAGCAATATGACCTGTCCTGTATCTTAATTTTCCCACTTTTATGCATCTACTTCCCCAGTACACAACTATAGTTAATCAGCTGTAACTGTTACAGTGTCATAATTACCATGGGTTATTACATATGGGTTATCACACAGGGTCAGCCTAGAGCTGTTTAGTTGTGCCTGAATTGTTTTGTTGTTTTTTTTTCTCCCCACTCAGGTGAACGGAAGAGCCCATACGTAGCTGCATGCTGCGTGGTGATGGCCTTCAGCATCCTGTTCATACAGTAGCGCTGGGGGAATGTCTCCTACAGCACAGGGAAGGAACTTTTGGCAGAACAGATAGAGCATCATCGACTATTCTCTCACAGGCTGGATGGCCTGTCCCTTAGCAGACACCCTCTGCTCCTGCAAATGGACCATCGTGTACAGTATTAGCAATCATAATGTAACTAACTCCAGTATGAAGTGTGCTTATTATAATGTCAAGTCAGTACTGACACTGCTGATGTGACTATGTAGAACTTGTCTGTTGCATATCTGAGTGCCAGAGGAGTTTTTTTCCCCCCGTCTCCCCTCAATATGCAGGTGTAAAATTATTAAATTTGGTTTGACAAACCTATTTTCTCCCACTTAAAAATGGCAACTGTGTATGGCAATAAGACTACTCTTAGAAAAAATATTGTGGTCGTAGGATGTGTTTACAGAAGTATTTTCAGTTCTTTACAGTCTAGACAATTCCTATCATTTTGTGACAGGTAAATTCGCATATGAAAAATATAACTTCTGGCTTAAGTTACACTCAGTTGTCTTCTAAGCTTGTAACTGCTCAAATATTTTATAATACTTTTATTATTAAGCTAAAATATGAATAAAGGTAGGGACCATAACTGTAGTGGTGTCTGACTACCTGCTAAGAATGCACAAATTGGATTTGAGAATCTTGATCTGGATTGCTATAAATCATATGTACTCATTGTTGGAGAACTGCATTTTAAGTAAAGCATTCCCCAATTTCTTTCCGTATTGTGAATTAGAAGTTTCTAATGGCTCTGTGGTTGTTTATACATGTAATACCATTTCTTGATCTGCAGGCCTCTTGAGAAGTTGTCAGTTACACAGCTGATTTAGCAACTTCCTAAGTTCTAGTGCTCTAAAGTTTAAAGAAATCAACTGAATTACATTACATTTACTGTTAATAAATATCAGATTAGTTTTAACAGCTGCATTTAGTGTTTGCTCTATGATTTTGCAAACTTTTCACGATTTAGTAACTTATTTTAATGGTGCCTAACAGACAGTTACACCAGACAGTTGTATAAGTTGATATTGATTGAATTTAAGGAAGTCATTTGTCTGTTATTCTGAAAAAGTATGTGATCGGAGTGAACTAAGCAGGCAATAAAACATGCTAAAAGGTAGGTGAAAGTTGTCATACTTGTTTAAAAAGACCTAAATCTCATAGACCTGAATTACCCTGCACTTGGAAAGAAAGTGACTATTAGTTATTATCTTTGCATTACACCATGTATACCTATTGTCCAAAATGGTTGCTAATCTGGAGTGAAGAAAAATTATTTTCAAAATTTAAGCCAATTACCTCATCTCTCTTCCTAACTGTGAAGAAAAACTGTTTCCCCATGTGAAAAGCTTAAAGTCAGTTTGCAGATACCTGAGCTATTCCCCTTTATCACACAAGCCTGTTGATATCAGACAAAGGTATAAACGCTATGAGAAGGGGAGAGCGTAACCTTGTGTGCACACACACTTGATAAAGCTTTTGCAGCAATTCGTGCTTAAACTCTGAGATGAAACTGTCATTTTCAAACAGCAATATTAGCACAGGCTCCCACAGAGTTGCATCAATAGAGATATAATGGAAAAGATCCTGTCTTGCTCTCATATGCTCTGAGTCTCAGACGCTGTGGAAAAGGAAGTGAATGCTTAGAATGTAGGTGCTGAAGCAGACTAGACTGGCAGACACGCAGACTGTAAGATTTAACATAAGTTTACACAGTAAATAATGGATGTTGCAAGAGGATGACAGTAAAAAAAAAAATTGTCTGAGGTGCAGGAATATATGACCCAGCAGTCTGTGGGCACCATGTCCTATATGAGGTGATGGAAAGTGAGTATCTTGAACCTGCACATGGAGCTGTGTTTGCATGCAACTATATTGCAGCAGCACCTATTACCGAAGAATAATACTTCCACATTGGGAAGCATTCCTTTTACCTAGAAAGCTGGCATGGCTTCACTAATGGAGGCTCTGTCAGTCTTAGTAGACTGCTTCATCTATATTTGTTGCACATGTTGCACAAACGCTGAGTGTGGCCTAGGCTGTAGTTTTAAGTGCAACTCAGTGTGGGGTTGAAAGGAATCAGATCAAGAACCTTGGATCCTGTCAATGAGAGACTCCACCTATGGTTGGCCAAGACAAGAGTACTCTGTTCAAGACAAGGGTAGTAAAGAATGCAAAGGAAGGGAAGTGAGGAAAGCGGAGAAAAAAAAAAAGGAACGTGATGGCAGCAGAGTATGTCTAGGGAGGCCTGAAAAGCAGATAGGTCCCAAACCCATCATTTTGCACAACTTGGTTCTGTTGGTGCTAATCAGTTAGGTAAGAAGTACAAAATGCTTCAATAAAATAATGTATTTTTTTGCGAGTGGCTAAGAATATGAAGCTAAGGCTAAGATTTTGCTGACAACTCTTTTTCAACCACTGATAATGCTAAAAAGCTGAAAAGCTGAATGTAGGAACAGAAAAAGGTCATTTCCCATTAAGAGAGCATGAATTGGATCAAGAGAAAGTAAGCTGAAAACCATTGTGCTCTACTTTCCAGACACTTCATGTAACTTTCATGTAATACTGGAAAGTGTTACATGAGCAGAAAGAAAGGGCATGGACCCAAGACTGGGGATCTCACTATGCTGTATTTTGCTTTTGTGATTGTCAGTCGTATAGACTTACCCAGGCAGTCTTAAAGATTAATTATGGGTGAGCGGAGGAGTTCATCTACAAAGCAGTTTGTTCCCAGGTACCTGGTGCTTGTGTTGCTTGTGTTAGGGTTTATAAAGCTAAATTTTGTCACAATTACACGTTTTTCACTCTGAACAAAATGCAACAGTGTAGAGTTTGCTGTGCACAAATCCAAATTTACTGCTTCTCAATGCAGTTAATTATAAACTTATGTGATAAGACCTGAAACATGATGTGTTGTTCTTTGGACAGAGGGAATTTTGTGCCTGTTGTGGATGAAAGTTACTATACCACAAATCCATATTTGCACTCTAAATGACCTCAAACTCAAATCAGGGATTTCAGAAGACTAAATTGAAAAACAACAGTAGTCATGCTGGGAAATGCATGTGAATAAGTGATGGGATCGCTGTAAGGGTCTGATGCTCTGTAGAGACTGATAAGCCAAAGTGCAGGCATAGGTAGTGTAGGAGGAAACAGAGTTGAGTCTAAGGATGACTCGAAGATTTCATGATCTGGGAACAAAGTTATTGTTTCACAAATGCCCTTTCTACCTCGGAACCGCAGGAGTGGGCAATGGGACTGTACTGTAGCCAGGAGGTGAAGCTGCAGCAGGCTCGGGGGAACCCATGCTCTGCTAGCGCTCCCAGGCAGTTACTGTCAACCGCTGAGGAGATCTGCTGAGTGAACCCACTGAAACAACTTATGTTGCCTGTGAGGACGGCATGTTACTCACAAGTAAAGCTACCTGCAGTCACTGTAAAGCCACAAGAAGCAAAGCTCCTGAAAGCTCTCACAGCTATGCTTCTGTGAATATTTTTACAAAGCACAAGTATAAAATCATATTATTTTGCAGCTGACAATTTATCAGAAATACAGCCAGTATTGCACTTTGAAGTGCAACGACTGGTGCTTTAGCACTGCTGACCCCCAAACCATGCCTGGACTTCCTGCGTTCAAAGTGCCCTTTTCCTTCTTGCCAGTGCCTCAGCAGCAGATCAGGAAGGACAACAAAGACAGTGTGAGCCCAGAACATGAAAAGATAAGTAACATCTTCCTAATAGTTTAAAATACTAGAGGTGACAGCAAAACATAAGCCAGGAAAGTCTGATCTAAGTCTCAACTCAGACTCATGCAAATTCTTTACATTACCTATGTAGAATTTTCGCAGTTAAGGAGGGTGTGGGTTTTGTTTCTTTATTTTTTCTTTTTTTAATTTTTTTTCCCTCCTGCTTTTGGCCTAGTTTTACTCAAACATAATTTTTTAGTCATTCTAGTCACAAGCCACTAGTGCTTATAACATATTTTGTAAGGTTCCTGTGTGTTTCTACATGTATTCATTGGTACTGCGCTAGTGAGGACAGTGCTTGTCCTTCAGCTTGTATAATGCAATGTAATGCCCATGATGGGCGTGGAAGACATATACAGACATTGAAAAAGGATCGTGAAAATGTTTCTTACTTGGCTACAGTTCTTAAGTTTTACCAATATTTTTTTCATGATGCCCTAAGCTTATATAAGCAAGCAAAGTGGGTGGAGAAATGAAGTCATTTTGTGAAAGCAAAATGATGATTTTTTGAAAGCAAAGATGAATTTTTTTTCAAGTGATCAATACCTGACAAGACATCTGAAAGCTTCTGTCTAAATTTCATATCCTGCTCTTTCACTAATATACGACAGGTAATCTCCAGTGAGCAGCCTCTCGGTTCACAGTGTACCATGCTGCACTTATTTGACAAATGAGGTCTTGATTCCTGTGATGAAACATGAGTCACATAGTGTTTTCATTCAAGCTTCCAATACCTCCAAAGCAAATTAGTCTTGGACACTACATCTCAACAATACTTTCCACAAAAAAAAGCCAGTGGCCTTTGAGAAGGTTATCAAATGCATCATTAAACTAAATCTGACACACTTTCCAAAAAGAGCACAATATTAACTCACATAATTCCCATTGACATATGGGTGAAATGACAACATGTACTCAAGGACCTGGGTAGAAACATTTCACAATACAAAATGATTCTTGCCTGCCTATAGAGAAGATAATTATTTATTGAGTTTCTCCAGCAAATGCAGAACTTCTTGTAAGAGACATCTCATACAAGACAATTTCTGTTACTCCAAAGAGCTGCTTAGAAGCTGCACTATACTGAGAAAAGAAGCTTTTCCCTCAAACTTAGAGTGGGAAGCAGTCAGAGGGCATCTCCAGTGCAACTCATTTCAGCAATTTGTTGTAATTGTGTAGGTCACCTCTTGGCTATATAGGGGCCAAAAACAAACACGGTGGAACTCCACCAATCTCTACTGCAATTTGATGTAAATAGAT